AGAGAAGAGACGCAAAAGACTACTGGAACGTGGTTTAGTTTGAGTAATAAAGTGAAGAAAATCAAGGAGCAAAGAGATTTTCTAGCAATTAATTAGGAAAATAAGTTGAGATAGAACTTCTATACATAGAAGTATTGTATTCCATTTCCAATTCGTCCAGCACCACCACAAAACATGCATTTCAACTAAAAATGTTTTCAATTGACTCTATGTCATTTTCTTATCAATTTATGTATTTCAATTTAATGGCAATTGATTAGATCATTGTCAACTATTTCGATTCAGCCATTTACTTTCTTTCAATTTCAATTATGCCAATTTTAATTACGCAATTTTAGTTAGGTTTTCAATTCAATGGCAATTGATTAAATTCTTGCCATTGAATCGTAGTGACAATTGATTAAATTCTTGTCATTACTTGGCTGATGGCAATTGATTAAATTCTTGCTATCACGTTTCAGTGGCGATCGATTAAATTCTTGCCATTGTGTTTGGCTGATGGCGATTGATTAAGTTCTCGCCATCACGTTCGGCCGGCGATCGATTAAGTTCTTGCCGCCTGTCTTCACTCGGCCATTCCATCCATTCAAACATTCATCAGCCGTTGCATTTCTTTAGACACTCTAAAAAGTCCTTGCTACAAACAAGGCATAAAAGAACCTTACTGGGAGTTCTTATTAGTCTCTCTCCCACACAATCGCCTGAGAGTCAGCCATCGGAAAAAGGGATAGGCTGGTGTTCAATTACATATTTTGGGTATTTTGTACAACTACTCTGGTACGCCCGCGAAGAGTCCATCGACCAGCGTAGGGAACAAAAATCGCGCGAACAGATACTAATAAGGGTCTTCTTGATTCTGGGAGCTTCTCCCCATAGGGATCTATAAAAGGATTTGGTTTGGTGGATGAGAAACTAAAACATGCTCTGTAAACTAGCCTAGTGTAACAGGTGGGCGCTTGCTCATTTACCCAAAAGTTCGAACTGTTAGGTATGACTGCATACCCACCCATTTATACCCAACCTTTTTCCCATCCGATTCCGATGTGGGACAAAATAACCCTTGTTACATTCTCCCCCCACCCAAACTCGCAACGCCTTCGTTGCGGTTGGGCCACCCTGCCTACCCGGGTGGACTCACCCGGACGCCTTCCGGGCCGGGCGCTTGGCGTGGCACCGAATCAAGGACTGGGTTTGGCTCTGATACCAACTGTAACGAGTGGGCGCTTGCCCATTTATCCAAAAGCTCGAAATGTTAGGTAAGACTGCATACCTACCCATTTATACCCAACCTCTTTCCCATCCGATTCCGATGTGGGACAAAATGACCCTTGTTACACCTAGTTAGTGAGACGATGGATGCACGCTTTAAAGCAGAAGGCTTCACATTACATTTAATGCTCTGACATAGCCATAATCAACTTGGCTACTGTCAGGTATTAAAAAATGACAAATTGCATTTAATGTAATAGATAAAACTAACCAGTAGGTTCTAGGGATCGATAAGAGGAAATAACCTCTTAGAGTCCTAGGGTCATCATGACTACCTCAGTATCCATGATTTCATACTGAACTACTGGGTAAAATATCTAAGATATATTAAGGCTATAAATAGAAGCCTCAATACAAGTATTAAGGGCGGAGTATCAAGAAAAAAAGTATTAAAGTGATCCTGATAGCGCTATTCCCTATCTCCACCAACGTACTCGCTAACCAATCTATTTTCTCCTCCTTCTCCATCTTTTTCTAGATACTTCACAGTTATGTTTACATATCACAATTTATTTATTATTTACTAATATTAAGAAAAGACCCTCCTACATACCCAAAACGTAACTTCTCTCTCCTGGGTAGAAACCCATTTTAGGTTTGCTCATAACCATTTGCTTCTCTTCTCTCCACCTACTCCCACCATCAACTTCCCCAACTGACGCCATCTCCACCCATTGTTGCCACTACCATACCTCTCTCCTCTGCTCTCCTCCCTCAACAGGAAATCACATATATATTAATATATACTCCCTCTATCCCATATTAGTTGTCCACGTCGAAAACTTTGACTCACTACTACATTTTATTTTTAAGTCATTTTAAATCATTTTTAGTCATATTCTTTTTATATATTATCTCTGTACCATATTAGAAATCAGAAATTTTGACTTACAAAAATTGCGAATCAAAAATTTTAAGATGGTCATCTAATATGGGACGGGATTATATATATATATATATATATTCACAAATACTACCCAAAACGAAATTTCTCTCTCTTGTTGGTAGAAACCTATTTTGTGTCTGTTCACGAGCACATGCCATGAGGGGGCAACCACCACCTCATACTAAATTTGTAAGGACAAAATTAGATTTCACAATTGATTAGGTGAAGTTAGGCTGGTGATGGGTTTTAACTTTCACATTTCATTCACACACCATCTTTATCTTTATATAGATATATATTATGTCTCTCCTCCTCCTCAAAGATTTCAACTTTGGCGATGGTTCTTCTTCCTCAAATTAAGGATTTGATAGAAGATAAAAGCACACAAATTATATATATAAATAAAGGATTATATATACACGTCACTGTAATTGCGCACAGATTGGTAGATTGGTTGGAAGAGATTGAAAACAACTTTAAGGCTATTGTTGTCTTTTCAATGGGTAATATGGTAATTTTAAAAAATTTGTCAGTACCTTATTATATCAGGTCAGTGTAATATACTCTTAATTATATAAGATATTATTTGATTTTATAAGCTATAAATTTTAGAAAGTAATATTGATCTTGAGTATCAAAAACAACGCACTAAAAACAAAAGATCATCCAGATTCCCAATCTTAACAATTGTCTCACACAAAATCAACCATCAATGGGTAGCCTTTCTTATCAATATCATTACAAAATTATTCTTTTACCGCTGATTACTACTATTCAATCATTTCAATGGTTTTTTTTTTCTCCAGATTATGCCTCAACCTTCAGTAGGTTTTTTGGGGAAAAAATGTTTTTCCTTTCAACGACACGCGCAGACACATAATGTGAAAATTTGAATGGCATCGCCAAAAATGAGCCGCTACGGTGCGCCGGATGCGGAATATGAAGGGAGTCGGTCACCAGACAAAGCAACAAATTGCGGTTTTAAAGGCGTGTCAGGAAGCAGCCGCCCCAACCCCTAAAATAATCCACACACACGACACCTTTATTTGCTTTTAATGCCACACCCCTTAATATAACCTAAACGTGGCACCAATAAAACGCGTCCATTATCTCACCCGCGGGTCCTACTAACAAATAAACGCCAGACACGCCGGCTTAAATGTCTCTATCTTTGGACGACACGTCACCTACCACCTGTCAAGTCGTCAGCTCTCGCCGTACGGCCCCCACGTGAAATGTGAGTCGTGGCAGCCTCTGATTGCAAGTATGTCGAATCTCACAGTAGAGTAGAGAAAAAGATACAGATATATATTGAGAGAGTGAAAATCCTGTCCATAGATTCCAGACCATGACGACCGGGTCCCACCGAAAGCGGGCCGCCGCGCCTCCACCTCCCAAGACTCGTTCATACGTGGACCCCACTCACTCACACAAGAATAAATAAAATTGAAAGAAAAAAGAGATAGTAGACTGGGCCCCCAAATTTTTATTCAGCCTCGTGAGTTCTCTCATTTCCACACTTCGGTTTGGTGTTTTTTTTTTAACATATACTACGTATTTTATTGCTACTTTTACTAATCTTGTTGACTTTTTATTTTGGAAATTAAGCCAATGGCGTTTGGTAAAAAGACAGAAAAAAAATGTGGAAGAGAACTAAATGAGAGCCCATTCAGGTGAATATAAATCCTCAAAAAGAATAATACATTTTATTGAACCAAGGAGCTAAGGGTGTGTTTAGGTGGGAAAATAATATTGATGGGTTTTGAACAGCTAGAACTTCAAACAATACACACCATACTTAATAAAGCAAATAAGGTATTAAGTGTCCAATCTTATCGTCTTCAATCTACGTGATAATATTTATAATCACTACCATTCTTTTACTTGATCCCGTCTAACTTGAGTGATAAATAAATTAAATCTTTAAAATAATCAATTATTAAAATAGATGCCATACTACTAATTAAAAAGAATTATTTTATGCTATTAGGCACAAATACAAAAAAAAAAAAAAAAATTAACCATTCACAAAAATTGTAGCCTATTTGAAGCAAAAATAATGGAAGATTTAATGATTTTAAGTAGACAATTGACTTTGAAAATAGTTGCTCATGTTATTAATTTTGTCATCTTCAGGTGGAGTTTATTAGACTTGTCTGCACTTTAGTTTGATCATCAATATGTTTTTTTTAGTGTAATTAATTTTGGGCTGCAAGTAATTACAAGACAAAGAAACGGTCGTATGAAGTCAAAAGCGTAAATAATGTAAAATAACTAGGCAACAATGGAAGTTGGCGAAAATTAGGCGGTGGAGCTACACGTGACGACATTTCGAATCCCGACATCTACCTCGTCAACACGGAATTACTCTCTCTGGTCCCCACTCCCCAAACACCTTGTGATTCGGTCACTTAATCAAGCGGCTTCGCCGTCGGTGCCGCCCTCAATAAAAAAAATAATATAATCCCAAAATTTTACTCTGCACGCGTCCTCTTGGAGGACACATCTGATCCTTTCTTACCAGCCGTTTGATCAAAAAGACTCATATCATGATTCGTGCGTATTGTGTGAGAATCTTAAGGACAGAGGCAGGAGCCCATGCTGCTTCTCATCATCAACGCTGCCTCTTTCAACTTCTCACACGCAGTCCGTACAGTAAGTGGGCCCCTCAAGCCTGCTAAAATACGCCTCATAATCATGCGCATCGAAGTATTCGAGTTTGGTCGGCAGTTGAGTAAAGACGGACGGACGAAACGTTATATATATATATACACACACTATATAATAAAATAAGATAAACACAAACAAATGATTCATTCTTGTAATTGACAAAATAAGAAAAACATAAACAAATGATTCATTGTCTTCTATTGAATTGTTTTATAGAAACAAAAACAGCGATCAACGGTGATAGATTAGATTCCATTAACCAACATCTGAGAAACCATTTATTCCTCAGTTGCAAAAAAGGAGACATTGGTTTATCTATTTACATAAATATATATATATCTAAATAACAGCACATCGATGCAATGTCAGGCTGCGTTTTCTCTCTCTAGTTTTCTCCCTACTCTTTTTTTTTTTTTTTTTTAATATTTTGAAACCAAAAAAGAAAAAGAAAAGATGAATGGAGTCCGAAAACTGTAAACAGACGATGAAAGATCAGAGCCTCCGGCGGCGACGGAGTTTCCGGCTAGATCAGACGACTTCCGGGGGAGGAAGGTTGAGATCAGGAATGTTGAGATTGATATTGAGGAGCGCTCTAGGTGGACTGCGGTCGGAGTAATTGAAATCAACAACGGAAGAGGAATCGGAGTCGCTCTGGACACCGCCAGCGATTGTGTGAGGTAAGTCTGCAATCGATCGGTTGATTCTGAACATGTTGAGATGCTTATTCATGACATCAGACCGCGAAATCGCGTCGAGAAAGAGCACGGGACTCGCCGTCGGAAGAACGCCGAGGTTGAGGTCGAGTGACGGCTGCAGAAGCGGAGCTGCGGCGGTCGGCGGCGTAGAACTGGAGGACTCGACGGTGCTGCTCTGGCTAGGGCTCCGAGCGTTGCTGACGGCAGTGAGTTCCACGGGGGCAGGGAAGTTGGTCTTTGCCTTGGCGCCGCGGAACTCACGCGCCGCCGCGTCGTAGGCACGCGCTGCCTCCTCGGCCGTGTCGAAGGTGCCCAGCCAGACGCGGCTCTTCTTGCCGGGATCTCTGATCTCGGCGGCGTATCGGCCCCAAGGCCTCTTCCTCACGCCTCTAAAACGCGTCTCTTTGCTGTTAACTCCTCCGATACCGCAATTAACGGCGTTCGGCGATTGTTTTTCTCTCGGCGCCATATTTTATGTGTTGTATTTTTGTATCTATTTGGCGAAGGAAGGGAGAGGAGAGGAGAAGGAGAGGGTAGGTTATGAAGAGGGAAGGAGGCGAAGCTTGGGTTTTATAGAGCGGTGTGGTAGGGTAGGGTCCCTTGGCCACGCTCTAGGAGGAGCGTGAAAAAATAATGAGGATGTGGCTCCTCCGCGTGGGCTTGGGATGCATTCAAAAGAAATTTTACAAGCCACTCAAAACTCTCCACATCACTCCAAAAAAAAAAAAAAAAAAAATTGAGTAAATTATAATAGCAGTCTCAGAAGTTTGTCAATATTACAAGCTTTTAGAAAAAAATTACTAAAACACAATTTCCAAAAAAAAAAAAAACTAAAATTACCGAGACATCCTTTGTGACAAAATTCCCTCGTGTCCTCTACTTTTAAAACAAAGTAATTTTGATGTATGAGTATCGAAACTCCTTTAAATAAGAGGGAATACGAGTTTATAGTTTGAAAAATCATCTCAACAAAATCATTGTGCCTTTTGAAATAACGAAATGAATACAAGGCATGTTTGATGATGAAAGTTGTTAGCAGGGTTTGAAATGGATTGGCTTTCATCCCAAATTTATTCTATCGATTTTGTTTTATTTTTTTAATATGAATTATGAAATGCAATGTTTGTCTCGGACCCAATTTAGGTCCAGTACAAAAAAATAATAATAATAATAATACTTGTTGGCATATTCTAACATTCATTTTAACTACAACTGAAATATTAGTAACATAATATTTTTATTATTGAATTAGGAACTTTTTTAACGAATTTATGTGTCTCCCTTGTATATAGAAAAGTTCAAGTTACCTTCGTACCAGAAAAGGTATTAGATGTTTCGGACACACTATGCAACAAGCTCATTCAAGTCGTACGTGCACAACACACGCCTGCGCATGCATAACACTTACGACTCGGATGAGCCCGGTGCACGGTACACCGAGTGCACCCAATATATATGCCTTCAAACCCTCAAAGGTTTCACTTTACAATTTTAGATTAAAGATTTGATTAAAACAGTGGTCGGTCAACTTCCCTTTAGTTTTGTCAAAATCACATAAAGATCATGTTCATTAAAAATTTATTACATATATTTTAATTATACCAAAATTTTCCTTCTGCAACTTAAAACTACTATGTAGTTATAACGACCCGAATCCGAAGGTCCAAATCGTAAATCGGGTCTTTATCCGAACCCAATGACACCCAAAGGTAAAATGGTTATTATTCACCTTACTATGCATTAGGAGTTATAATGAAGTCATACTAGTCATTTATAACCATAATGGATAGTTAAATAATGGTAACTCTGACTTCGGGTTCATATAGGAACCCAAGGGTCATGAGGGGTAAAATAGTCATTTCAAGTTAAATTTATAAAATGAGGTTTATGCCAATGAAAATGTGGCTCAAAATGCATCAATATAGACTAAAGAATGGCTTAAATTGGGTTAGAAATGACCAAGTTATGATTGATTAAAGTTTGGTCAATTCGAAGATTTCGACAATCTCAAATTTTCTATGTCTAGGAAAATCCAATCGATCGGACCAAGAACAGATTTTGGAGGGTTTTCAAAATATTTTAAGTATGGAAAAATCCGATTGATCGGATTGAACCCAGAATGTGAATATGGGCTCTCAAGGGAGCTCTAGTTTGATCGTACCTTATAATTATGTTAATGTACACATTTATACAACTTAAAACTTGTCCCAAAACATTTACATACATAGATTCATTCATAAGCCAAAATAATTTACAAGCATAAAATAAGACGAAAAAACATAAATGCCCCTAGGTTTGTATTTTCTTCCCATCCATTCCATTTCATTCACAAGTTGCAATGTTCAAAATAGATAATTACATGTCCCAAAAAAGAAAATTACAAGTTTGAGACCCTTAAGGTCACAATTACAATGCTTTACAATTGAATTTGCATAGATTACACCTTAACTACAAAATTAATAAAAAAAAAATGATGCCATCAATCCTAACTATGCATGTGAGGGTTCGTTATCAACCACATCATCATCATAACCAGAAAAATGTTAATTGAAGGGGTAAACACAGAGACTCGGTAGAATATGCCTAAGGCGCCAACTTTGGACACCCTTGAGCCACACATCACACATTGGGGTTCTATCACATTTACAACATAATGTCAATCTCATCAACGACATTTATACAATATATCATAAATGTGTATGTAAATACAATACAATGCACAACCGCCCCCGAACTTGGTCTCTATCGACCCAAACTCGTACCAAAAATCGCTAACCGACTTTACCGAGGTGAGATTAATTAACTATCCCTTTTTCAAATTCGGCAAGCATTTGGGGCCTAGTAATCAACTTTTCACATCCTAAACCACCACTCGCTCCTTCTAGGTCAAATTAGCACCGGACTTGCGAAATCTGATTCTTTTTGTAAATTTTTCATTTTATATCCTTTTTTCCTTTCCCTTTCCCGCCATGTCATGCATATGCATCAATCTCATCAAATTGACTTCTATTTCAATAGTAATGGCATTAACATGTCATTCTCTATACAATAGATACAAGCATGACATTTTACATAATTTAATTTCAAACATGGCATGTTGTGGAAATCAACTACAAGTATAACATTCCTCACACTTTAACTATAAACATACACATTATGGTTTTCACATCATTGTTATAATCATGCTGGCATTTAGAATTTAACATTCCCACAACTTGGAAACATCATGTTTCACACTTACCACATAAAGCACATTTAATCACTACACTTAACATGCTTTCATCATATCATCTTCAACTATCATCTTATTCACAAAACATGCATTCCCTATGAAGCAAATGAAAAATCAATGAAGATTACTCAATAATTAAGGCATTAGAAATCCATACCTCAATAGAGCAATCCAACAAGCCCTTAGCCAAGCCCAAATTCAAAATTCCTTTAGCCCTTGCAATATTGGTCTCAAATGGAAGCCCTTGCCATGCTCTCTAACTTCTCCTTCTATGGCTTCACCAAAATCCCATTTTAAACCTCCCAAAATGAAATTTAAAGTAAGGACATATATATGTGTAGATATAGAGAAAGAATGAGAAATGATAAAGAAAGAAAGAAAAGTGCTGAAATGGAGAGGAAGACAAGGGTTGGCCTTGTTTTGTAAAGAAAAATATGATCCTAGCCTTGCCACTTGTCAACATTAGGGAAGTTACTAACATTCCTAAACTATCAAGTTACTAACATGCCCTCACCCTTCCTTTGCAATGCCATCCAAATCCCTAAAGTATCTCCTCAATGTCTATTTACATATATATGTATATATGTGTGTGAAATGACCACAACGCCCCTTAATGCAAATGGCAAAACCGGGAGAAGTTTTCGAGCCCAAAAATCGTCCAGACTTTTGAAAAAATCTAAAATTAATCATGTCACTTCTAAATGATTTAAAATAATTAAAAATGCATTTATAATACTCTCGGCTCAAAAAAATGACCTAAATGGTCCTCAGGCCCCCATGGCACGCAAAACGAGGCACGAAGAGTAACAATATTAAAATTTTCAAAAAAAAATCCGTGACATTACAGTAGTCGTTGTTTGCTTCTATTGAAGTTCAATTAGGGAAAAACACACACTTTACACAAACACACACACACACACACACATATATATATAAGTCATTCACCAAAATATCTCATGCAACCTCTACCACCACCAATATCTCTTTCATATTTCTTCCTTCACTCATCTCTCTTTTTCTCTCACACACACCACATAAACAAACCCCAAGTTAAACCACGTTGTCCATGGACCATGAATCTTCCTATGAAAATATAAATGTATACATATATTCCAGAGGTGATTTCAACATAACAAAAGACAAAGAACATCACATAGACATGCATATATTCATACTTTGAGCTTCAATTGATTGAGTCCGTGAAATCAATCTTATTTTTTATCACAATGATTCTTCTTTGAAATCCATGAAGGAGACTATGACATCCTACATCGTCTAGAAAAAAAGTTGTTGAGATTTATGTGTGGACACCCCTTAACCATGTAGATGCGTTTTGAAAACTGTGAGCACTGAAAGGAAAGTGTGCAAAACAGACAATATTTACATGGTGCAAGTTGGGTTGTGACATATGGTATTAGAACCAATCCCCAATTAAAAGTTGGAGGCGTGCATAAGTCCATACGAATTAGGCTAGTGAGGATGCTGAGTCCCAAAAGGCTGTGATTGTGACATTTCACATCGCCTAGGAAGTGAAATTGCTGAAATTTGTATGTATGGACACCCCATAACCACGTAGACACATTTTGAAAACCACGAGCACCAAGAGAAGAATGTGCAAAGTGGACAATATCTACACGGTGTGGGGCGGATCGTGACAGAGACGTTGAATGGGTCACGGGTATACATTAGCAAAAGGGATGGAAATTACTACCACTATGAGAGAAAGAGATAGAGATAACGGTGATAGTATTGTGCATTGCCTCTGTGTTGATGGATATATATATATATATATATATATATATATATATATATATATATATATATCATATTTCTTTTTGGTTACATCATCAACTTATAATTAAAATCAAAGGATTTTTGTACTTTCATAAGTGCCATTAGCAGTCCTAACTTTGACAAGTGGTGTCGAAGTAAGTTTATAAAAAGTTGCATCTGAGAGTGAATTGTGCAAACCACAAAGGGTCTAAGAGTAATTTACCTTATTAAAAAAGGAAGAGGTTTGATTAAGGTCTATTTAATTTGAGCCTATTTTTTGCTTAATGTGGATTTTTTGAACCATCCAAAATTGAATCAACCAAATATGGATTGTGACGTATACATAGGATCCAATTAAAGTTTGGAATTTAAATCTACTTCAAATTTTGTCTTATTATTCCACCATTTATTTGTTTTTATAATTCTCATGCTACGATTTGAATATTTAACGGTGCATTAACCTTTTCTGCCGTATGTTGCGACTCAGTGGGAGTTTAGGAACATAAAAAAGATATCATATCAACTCGTTATAACCTAACTAGAATAAT